TCTCTCTCTCTCTCTCTCTCTCTCTCTCTCTCTCTCTCTCTCTCTCTCTCTCTCTCTCTCTCTCTCTCTCTCTCTCTGTTGTGGTCTTTTAATTGCCTGTCCTCATTGGTTGCCCACACGACTCACACATACTCCCCTGCAGCCACTGCTACCGTGAGCTGCTAACATCCTTAGTCATCACCACAATGGGCGGGCTTCGCATCATTATGCCATGCGATCTCCTGTCACCGATGCTACCAAAGATTCACAAGTGAAGTCACCTTAGGGCCTCGACACAGCTGTGTCACCAGGCCCTTAGTCATCACCACGATGCGCTGACTTCGCATCATCATGCCGTGGCGGCGCCCCCCTGGCTGTTAGGAACAGTGTGCCATTTGCTGCATGGGTTCCAAAATCTCCTCACCTTAACGAGAAGGGAGGGTGGAGGGGGAACTCCTTGGGCACCCCAACAGAGGACCAAAGTATTACTTTGACACCCAAAAATACTTGGAGCAGAGGGTGGGCTATGCTTTTGCAAGGACACTACAAAATTGTGCTGGCCCTGGTTTCCCTATGGGGGGCCACATGGGACTGCCCTGTCCCACTGTGCTGTCCCATGCGCGAAAACATACTTGAGACAGAGGGCGGTCCTGCTCGTCCTTGGTTTTAGGAAGAATCGAAGTGGGGAATTCAGCCAAGTGCAGATTGTGAGATGTGGTTTCCCGTCGGGTGAATCACACCATTACCCCCTCCTAAAGACATGTTCAATTTCTTCACCAGATATCGTCACAAACAGATATATATATATATATATATATATATATATATCGTCAAATATATATATATATATATATATCCTGGCGTTCTCAGCTATGGCTTGCATGATGGGGTGACATGAAACTTGATGAAAGCCATTACTGCTGAAAACAAGCCCCGCACCTACCGTTGTTTAAAAATTAAAAAAAAAAAAAAAAAAAAAAAAAAAAAAAGTCTTTGCCTGGAGAAGTAGAAGCATGTTTTCACAATGGCATCCATGATAACCCGTCTTCAGTATGTCATGAAAAGGGATTAAAAAAAACAAAAAAAAAGGATAGGGTTCCATGATGCCTCACCTTAAGTGTAACATCAGAAGAGATAAGGCTGAAAATTTTCCAATTCCGGAAATGTAAGCAAACGTGTTGGCTTATTTGCCTCCACCCTCCAAAAAAAACACGATCCGGCGAACAACAGCACCAGGCTTCAACAACCCGGTTGTAGGGTTTGTTTCGGCGTTAATTATACMCCCTGCCCCCCCCCCCCGTGCCCCCCCTGCGAGGCTTGTTTTGGTGGTGAGTACTAGCCCAATCGACTCCATTGCCAGAAATGACCCCATGAAATAGTTCCCTACCATCTTCACCCAAATAGAATGCCTGGGTCATCGGCACCGTGTCGAGACTGAAAGTTCCCCCGAATAGAGCTAAAACGACCAGGCCTTCTATTTGGATGAAGACGGTACGTGACGCAAAACTGGGGCCCAAGCACTACTACCAAACATGGGGCCCACTGTTCGAATGTCATGGGACACCCATCTGAGCAGCAACGTTGGGTGACCCGAAACCCGGGAAGCAAAAAGCAAGACCAAAACATCAAGCGTTCCCCAAACACACAGAGCCACCTTCACTTGCCCTGTCAGCTCGGTCCATTAGCAAACTCCTATACGCATTCATTTAAAGATGTGCCTTTCCTATGTACCCATACGCACGTCCGATTGTGCCTTATGTCTATTTATGTGTGCTTGAAAGAGTGAGAGCGAGGGCGACAGCAACAGAGCCGAGAGAGCAAGAGAGAGAGAGAGAGAGCGGGAGAGAGAGAGAGAG